CCCCCCCCCCCCCCCGGAGAATGATCGTCTAGGCAAAGGGAATACCTTCAAAAACTTGTCCATCAACAACTTCGGTTGGGTCTTGAACAGAATGCAAAAGAAATTACCTCAGTTATGACTTAATCCCAAGGCAAAATAAATTATTAAATACGTACACATGTGTACAGTGCAGCCATCTTTCTACCAAGGTGCATTATTTAGTTCATTATTTTTAACATGGATGCCTCAACGTACGCTTGCAAGAAATTCTTAACTAGACAATCACCTGACCAAATATTTGTTTTCATACCATACAAATTTATTTTTTGATAGTAATAAATAGGCCAAAGGATACACGGAGCACAGGTTTTACATCAAAGTAATTTTATTAATTTAGTTAATTTAGTTGTTTAGCAATTTCAGACCCCACCTTGCTACCAAAAAGCTTGCTGACTTCTCCTCACCACCCCTCTCCACTTTTTCCCTATCCAGCCTTGTGTCAATCCATGTAAAGGAATCCAAGACAGTTTGGATTCTTGATTCCATGCCATGGATTGCGGATTCCAGGTACTGGATTCCAGTCTTAGTCAGAGGAACTTAGATTCTAGATTTCAATTGTTACTGGGATTCCGGATTCCTTGAGCTGTATTCCGGATTCCAAAGCCCAGGATTCCAGATTTCACAAACAAAACTTCCCGGATTCGGGAATCCGCCTTTCCTTACATGGGGCGACTCGAGTAGCGTTTCTAAGGTAACTGTTTAATTTAAACACCCAGAATCAGTTGCCAAGAAACATCTATTACCATTACATAGTGAAAAACGTCCGGAAAAAGTCGTTCGGACAAAAAGAAAGAAAACATAACCCTTCTACACCAAATTTCATTTTGTGAAATATTTTTAACCTACAGGTAAAATGTGAAGTCAAGATCGATGAGCGATTGTAAAAGGATTTTGCTATTTTACACGTCAGAACACGTCGAAGTGATTAATTTTTGGGAGTTACATGCAATAGTTTAAAAGACATTCAAACTTTCAGCTTAAGGTAAACCAATATCAGTATTTAATTGGCAGTTCGCTCCCGCGGTTTCTCCCTTAAGACTCGAGGGTCCACATAGCTTTGTGGCAAAAAATGAAATAAAAGACACAATTTAATTAATTTTATGATCTGACCTACAGTATGACAACTTTAAAGCTTTTAAGGTTTTTTTATTGTGCGAAAGGGAGGTAGATCAATTGGCGTAAATATAAACGGGATTGTGCACAATTCATTTCAGATCACGTGGCTCAACACGGATACGTACATAATCGCCTGGTACGAACTTCCTCCCTATCCTCTACTCCCACCTACCCCCCTCCCAACCCCTTTCGACGCCTGCTACGCAGGCAAGAAATAAACATGCCAGTTACAGAAAAAAAAAACAACAAACGATTGGAGGCGGCATGTAAATAAAAAGAGTATAGCAAAGCTTTGGGTTGGGAGAAAGTTCGAGAGTAACAATTTGACTTTGTTAATTCCCTTCTGTTCTAGATCCCCTATTCCGTTAGCTTTGATTTAAGGTTAGGGTTAGGCTCAGGGATTGCAAATGATAATTAAAGTTAATTAAAGTGCTTGAAAATTTTTTAAATCCTAACGTTTCTTTTATTTTCACTTTATTTTTATTTTGATTATCAAAAGACAAAATAACGGATTACTCTCATTTCATCTAATAGCAAACATAGT